ATTCTTACATTATCATTCGCATACTCATATTTCATCCTTTTTGAATGAAAAAATTGTTTTTTTTTACTCTAAAGTTGAGGTGTTTAGTATGAAAATTTATGTTATTCGTTACAATATTTTTTCTCATAAAAAATATATTAAAAATAATTTTAAATCATAATTTTAAATTTATAAACTAAACGTCAACTTAAATCTTTAGTTGAAATTATATAAAATACTTTTTGACTGACAATGTCCTTACATGAAGGAGACGTTTAGTTTATAGATTAGAATCATTTTTTATTTACGTGTATTTTTTATGAGAGAAAACTCTAACAAATTATAAAAATTGATTCGAATCAGGGTACGAATTTTCCGACCAAACAATCCCGAAGTATTTCTTCTACTGACAACACCCTGTCCACTCTCCATTTGTCACCACATAAAATGACTTACTCTGACAGCCTTAGCTCCCTATCCTTGCTGATCAACATCTGGCCACCAAAAGTGATCGCTTGCTGTGTATACACGTAGATTATAGGCCTTCTTTTGCTCCGTCAATTAAATTCTAAACGTCCATTTTGATCTAACGATTGCAATTTGCCAGTTTGACTGAAACGGGAAACATTGTCTGTCAGATCAAAAACTATACCTATATATATAGGCGCGCATTTAGAATTAATTTTTTAATTTTTTTTAAAAATATTTTTATATTTTTTTTGAGATACAAAAAATAAAAACGATTTCTAAATTATGTTTGTTTAGTAAATATTTTAAAAATAAAAATAAAAAAATAGTGAGAATGATTTTTGTGAAAAAATTAAAAAATAGTTAAAAATTACTTTTTTTTTCTATTTTTATTTTATAATACTTATTCATGTTATAATATATTAATTAATAATTATAACCAAACATAATTTTACTTTTTTATTATACTCAAAATAAGTTTTTAAAAATCAACTAAACGTAGCATACGTTTGGTTCATGGATTAGAATTATTTTCGATTTACGTGTATTTTTTGTGAGAGAAAACACTATAGCGAACCATGAACCATGATTTAAATCATAGTTTAAATCTTTCAACTAAATATCCCTGTAATTTTAAAATCGATTTCAAAATAATTCTTAAAATAATCTCATTTTTATTTTTGTATTGAAAATAAAATTATTTTAAAACCGTTACCAAACGAGTTATATGCGTTGTGTTTTTTAGTTGGGGAGAATGAGGATGATCAGAGAGTTACAATAGCAGACTGCAGAGTTTTGGCTGCAGAGTTTTCTGTATTTCTTTTATTATCATCTACCAGTGTTTGCCTGTTTGGTTATTACCACTTCAGGAAAAAAATAAAAATTTAGTAATATTTATTTTATTTTTTAAAATAAAAGTAACAAAGAATTATAATTATGTCAAATTTTGTACTATGTAATTATATATTCATTGTTTTAACGTTAAATTTTGTTATTCTTATAATATTTCAAAAATTTCGCTGCATTTCACCTTTACTATTTAAATTTTTCTGTAGCTCATCCTTGAGGTTGGTATGCTGAGATAACCTCTTTATCCCTTTAATAGACAATAATTTTTAGGACAAATTTTATAAATTTTTCTAAACTTTTTCACTTATATTAACAATACTCCTAAACTTTAAAATATACATGTTGTGCCCTTTAAACTATGGCATATCTCTAACTTTTTACTTTCCGTTTGATTGCGTTAAGTTTTTTAATAAAAATATTTATAAACCCCCACTTGAACTTTTCACTTATATCAACATGCTTCTTAAACTTTAAACTGTACCTTTTATGCTTCCTAAACTATGAATTGTTTTCAATTTTTTTCCCTCCATCTTAATTTTATTAATTATGTATGATATTTGAGGTTTATTGAATATCTTTCCCTCCAAAAACATTAGTTGACACTAATTTTTAAACCATTAGTTGGTTACAGGTAGTAGAGAGAGAAAAATAGGAGTAAATCTATATAATGTAATGGGGTTTATTTTTTTATTTTTTGTGTTTTTTTCTTAATTTAATAATATTTAAACTAATCGGAAGTGCTCGATATAAAACCTGTTTATACTTTATATATATATAATTTTTAAATCTAGATACCTTTGTTTTATTTTGTGTGTGTGATTTTTTTTTTAAAGAGAATTCAACATAAATCCATTAATTTAACAAATTTTAAAAGAAAAAATTTGCACCACAAAAAATAAAACAATTTCGTACTACAAAATTCAAGGAAGAATCTATCCTCTGTATTAAGAAATCTATTAATTTAATGAATCCATTCCAACAAAAAAAAAGGAAAAAAAAATAAAAAGAAAAAATAAAAATTAACAAACCCATCACCTTGTACATATGTACTCTTCATTTTTTTCCATCTTTATTGCCTCTAACATTAGTTTTAAGAATTAGTGCATAATTAATATTTTTGTAAGTAAATGCATTCAATAAACCCAAAATATCAATCATACTTAGTAATTTAATCGCTATATCAACATTTCTCTTTAAAAAGTAAAAAAGAATCAAGATGAATGAAGAAAAGTTAGAGATATATCATAATTTGTAAGACACAACTGGTACATTTTAAAATTTAAAGTGTATATTGATACAAGTGATAAAATTTAAGAAAATTCATAAACATTTTCGTTTAAAAACTTAACGGAATCAATGAAGAGTAGAAAGTTGAAGACAAGTCAAAGTTTAGAGGAATTGGTAAAATTTATCTTAATTCTTATCACCGCTGATATTTGGTATTTTCCATAAAATTATTGATACATTTGTTTATTTATAATTTACTCTATTTTTTTGTTTACAGAAATTACTCATGTTTATTTAAGTTTTTTTGCCCAGAATATTTATTTATTTATGTTGTAATAAAAATTGCCCCTCTAGTTTTTCTTTTTTAAAAAAAGATATTGAAACTGCTCAGGTACTTACTGTAACTGTGTACGCAAGTACTAAGTGAGAAATTTAAGAACTTTAATTGTACTAGCCACTCGTATTTTTAATTAAAAAGACTAATGATTAGTTTATTTTTTTTATTAATTTTCTCCACTCCATTTTATTTTTGTATTATTTTTATTCTTTCAATTATAGTAAATATAAAGACTTTTTTATAAATTTAATATAATTATTTATTATTTTAAATTAAATAAATACTAAAATAATTTATATTTCACTAAAATAAAAAAGTGTAGTTGAATGACTCATTAAAAAGTTGTTAGTTAATTTTAATTAGAATTTAATTAAAATTTAGGTATCGTTTATTTTATTGATTTGAGTTTTTAATTTTAAATTTTTATAGTAAAAAAACTCTCAAAAAATGTCACATCTAATATTTTTCTACTACAGTGAAAAGTTCTTAAAAAATATCATATCACAACTTAAATTAAAAATTTGAATCCACGAAGTGAACAAAGCCTTAGAAAATTTATGGGACTGAAGAGTCCTTCATTTTTGTCATTTTTTTATTCTTTATAAATTAGATAATCTATGGCTGAGGAGAAGACGCGACTGAGGGCATTTGGCCAATGGCAACTAAGAACCAGAGCAACCAAAAAAAAAAGGTGAAACTGATAGAACAATAATAAAACACGTTGGGTGAGAGAGAACCAAAAAAATCCCATAAAAAATAGGACCCAATGGAATATCGTGATCAAAATTCATTTTCCACCAATCACGCCACTCCTTGCTGATCTCTTCTCTCTTCTCTCTTCTTCTTCTCTCTCTCTCTATCTCTCTCCTTTCAATCACTCTTTTCTCTGAAACTCTCCAAAGTCCCCTTCTTTTAGTATGTCATTATAACAAGTGGCTCAACTTTTTTCCTCTTATAATTTTTTGTCCCCAGTCAAACGGAAAGAAAACGACATAAAAAGAGTAATGAAAAGAAAAGAATTTCTATTACTCTTCTCTTTTTTGGTTTTTCTGTTCTGTTTTCCCCGCCTCAAATTGGAGTTGGCGGCTGAGATTCGAAAGCCCTTCTTTGTCCAGTGAAGATATTTGGGTACAACCTTTGAGAATCTGAAATGGGTATTTAAAATCAGTATCTGTTTCGTTTTTCATGCATTTTTTTTCCTTACATTGAGAGTTTGTGGTTTGGGGAATGGAAATTGCTGCGGCATCAGCGACGAGTACGGTGTCGTTTTGGGCGTCTTCTTCGTTGGAATCGATTTGTGCTCTGAGGCTGAGCTCCAATGGCGTCTTCATTAGATTTAAAAGACCATCCACGACTTTTGGATTCCAACACCAACACCAACAACGTTTGCTTCTCAGCTGCTCCAACGGCGGCGGTCGTGCTTCTTCGTCTTCTCCTATCAAGAGGACCCAACCCAGAACCAGAACCAGACCGAAGCCCAAACCCAGAAACGACGCCGTCCTGAGTTCCAAAGACGACCGGCCTCGGCCTCAGCCTCAGCCTGACCGGCGTGTGGATTCCCAGGTCGGTACGGGTCTGGTTTACAGGGTTTTATAGCACGTGTTTTATGAGCTTTTTGTGATTTTGCATTTTTGTCCCTCGGAAACTTTTCTTGACAATTTAGTTCTTATTGGACAAACTTTAACGTTACAATAGTAACAACCAAAAACCGTTGAGGGGTGTTAAAGTTTGGAAATAGTAAAAAAAAAAAAAACAATTGTGCTCCTGTCCTACAATACTTTATAGTTGTAGTTTGGATTTTTGTATCTTAGAAATTATTATTATTTTTTATTTATTTTCACAATTAGTTCTTGAATTAGTCTCAAAGTTATTATTATTATTACTACTTAATGCTGCTTGTGTGGAAGTTCAAAGTTTCAATTGCCAAGAAAAAAGAGTTTAAACAAGAAAGTGTCAAATTATGAAAGGTTCAAGGCCTCAAGTGCTAAAAAAAGGAACTGCTACTAGTTGGGACTCCCAATAATTTGTATTTTTTTTCCCACCAATCATGTTTTCATGTTTGGAGAAGGCTAATCCTTGGGTTGATATGGTTGTGAGGAGCTTGTTTGTTCATTGATGTGAGTCTGAATTACCTTCTATAAGGAGTGCACTTCTAGTGTTATTATAAACAAAGGATAGGTCTTTTGTAAGACACTTTTGCTGTATGTCATGTTCTTTTACGTATGACTAATCAATTTTACGGTTAGGAATTTTGACTTGGGGTGAAATCGGTTTGGTTCTGTTCGGTCAATTTATTCTGCATTTTCACCCGCCAAACTGAACATTCGGTTTTCTTGGGTGAGCAAACCCAAACCAATGGTGAGGGGACCAACCGAGAATGTGCTGGTTTTGGTTTGAGTGGGTCGGTCTGTTTTCAGTGGTGGTTTAGTTGGTTTCATTGGGTAATTCGGTTGGTTCGGTTTTTCTGTACACTCCTACCGGGGATATTTCATGGGTTTTTGCCGGTTTTCATGAGATACAAATGTTGTCACACTTGAAGGCAAATTTTTAGATTCCAATGAACAAAACTATGATAATGAGTTAAGTGAGGAAACTATGATAAACAAAAGAAACTAATTTGTAATGTTAGACAGCTTAAAGAGTAGAGAATATCTATCTGTTTCGTGAAGAAAAGAAGAAGACATTTGTTTTCATTTTTATCATCTTCTTGATGGTTTTTACAGGAACAACAATTGTTGAAGAACAAGTTGAATGGGGATCCACTTGGTCGCCGGGACCTTGGGAAGAGCGTGGTGAGGTGGATTTCCCTGGGAATGAGGGCCATGGCTACAGACTTCGCCTCTACCGAGGTTGGTGCTGGTGAAGAAAGCGACTTTTCGGAGCTCCAACAGCAAATGGGGCCAGGCCTCACCTTTGTAATCCAGGCGCAACCTTACCTAAATGCCGTCCCAATGCCTCCTGGTCTAGAGGCTGTCTGCCTCAAGGCCTGCACTCACTACCCGACGCTATTCGACCACTTCCAGAGGGAGCTCCGAGACGTTCTCCAAGACCTCCAACGCCGATCGGTGGTGTCAAATTGGTGCGAAACCTGCTCTTGGAAGCTGCTCAAGGAGCTAGCGGGCTCGGTGCAGCACAGGGCGGTGGCACGCAAGGCTCCAGGGCCGCCCAAGAGTGCGCTGAGCGTGTTGGGGATGGAGATGGAGAAGGCCAAGGCTATTCAGAGCAGGATTGACAAATTCACCAATGGAATGTCCGAACTCCTCCGCATTGAGAGGGATGCTGAATTGGAGTTCACACAAGAGGAGCTTGATGCGGTTCCTATGCCGGATCAATCTTCTGATTCGTCGAAACCTATTGAGTTCTTGGTTAGCCATGGTCAGGCTCAGCAAGAACTTTGTGACACCATATGCAATCTGAATGCAGTCAGCACATCTACAGGTCAGTTTCATTCTTCATGAAAAAGAATTTATAGCACTTCTGAAACTTGGGGAATGAATTACAAAAATAATAACATTTAGGGATAAGAGTGCCAAACCACGGAAAATTCAGGGTGCACAAGTGCTAAATATTTTGTGAAAAATGCTAAACGTCGCCACTAAGAAAAATTACTGATTTTTCAACTGATGAGTCATATGTAGTAAGTTGTGGTTCTCCAAGTCCAAGTTAACATGTTATTTTAGGATTAATTGTGAGTTTCTAGTTTGTGGGATTTTTTCTCTACTGAGGACATGTAAGGATTTGAATTAGGGGCTTCTGTAAAGCAGGTTTAGGTGGGATGCATTTGGTGCAGTTCAAGGTTGAAGGGAATCACAAGTTGCCTCCGACGACCCTGTCTCCGGGAGACATGGTCTGCGTGAGAAGCTGCGACAGCAGGGGTGCAGGTGCAACTTCTTGTATGCAGGGTTTTGTTAACAACTTTGAGGAAGATGGCTGCTCCATTAGTATTGCGCTCGAGTCTCGTCATGGTGATCCTACCTTCTCCAAACTCTTCGGGAAGAATGTGCGCATTGATCGCATTTATGGACTTGCTGATGTGCTCACATATGAGGTATCTTACCATTTAAAAATTCTCTTTTAATGCTGTATTTCTTATATTAGATTCTCGTTTTAGGAGTGATGTCAATAGACAGAATAGTAATTTCAATTTTACAGAATTTACAGAATTTGGACGGAGATGCGTATGTTAAGATAGATGAGTGACCATACGAGGATGGATCACATACAGAATGAAGTTATTCGTAGTAAAGTAGGTGTAACACCAATAAAAGATAAGGTGCGGGAAAACCGTCTGAGGTGGTACGGGCATGTACAACGTAGATCATTAGATGCACCTGTTCGTGCTTGGGAGAACATCCAAATACCTAGTACTAAGAGAGCAAGGGGTAAACCAAGAATTATTTCGGCTGACGTAGTTAGGCATGAATTTCAAGATCTAGGGCTTCAGGAGGGTCTCGTGTTTAATAGAGCAGATTGGAAATGAGAAATACATATAGCCGACCCTAATAATTTGGGATTAAGGCTTGTATTTGTTGTTGTTGTTGTTACAGAATTTTGACACATGTATTCACGATGTTCATGGTAAAATTTTTCATGACGTGTCTTCTTTTTGCAGCGCAATTGCGAAGCCCTTATGCTGCTTCAAAAGAACGGTTTGCAGAAAAAAAATCCTTCCGTTGCTGTTGTAGCTACACTATTTGGGGACAAAGAAGATGTTAAATGGTTAGAGCAAAATAATTTTGTGGATTGGACTGAACAAGAATTGAGTGGACATTTTACAAACGAAAATCTGGATGAGTCTCAAAGAAGAGCCATTGCCTTAGGTTTGAACAAGAAACAGCCGATTTTGGTAATTCAAGGGCCTCCTGGCACTGGAAAGACGGGTTTGCTGAAGGAATTGATTGCCCTAGCAGTTCAACAAGGCGAAAGAGTGCTTGTGACAGCACCTACTAATGCAGCCGTAGATAACATGGTTGATAAACTGTCCGAGATTGGATTAAACATAGTGCGGGTTGGCAATCCAGCACGTATATCTCCAAGCGTAGCGTCAAAGTCTCTGGGGCAGATTGTGAATTCTAAGCTTGCCAACTTTAAAGCTGAGCTGGAAAGAAAAAAGTCGGATTTAAGAAAAGATTTGAGGCATTGTTTAAAGGATGACTCTTTAGCTGCCGGCATACGTCAACTATTGAAGCAGCTCGGAAAGACACTGAAAAAGGAGGAGAAGCAAGCAGTGAGGGAAGTACTATCCAATGCTCGAGTTGTTCTGGCCACCAACACTGGAGCAGCAGACCCTTTGATTCGAAAACTAGACACTTTCGACCTGGTTGTTATAGATGAGGCGGCACAAGCAATTGAGCCTGCTTGTTGGATTCCCATACTACAGGGAAAGCGCTGTATTCTTGCCGGCGACCAGTGCCAGCTCGCTCCGGTGATTCTATCTAGAAAAGCCTTGGAAGGTGGTTTAGGAGTGTCTCTACTCGAGAGAGCTGCTTCTTTACATGGAGGTCTTCTTACCACCAAGTTAACCACACAATACCGCATGAATGATGCGATAGCCAGTTGGGCGTCCAAGGAGATGTATGACGGTTTGCTCAAGTCTTCTCCGACCGTCTCTTCTCATCTTCTGGTGGATTCTCCATTCGTCAAGGTATTAATCCCACTTACGATTTCTTTCTTTGTTGCATTTCACCCAAACAAGTATGGATCTTTACAAAAAGAAAATGCTACTTATCACCATTAGTGACACCATATATATGTCCGTGCATCAAACTTGCCACATAGCTATATGGGACGCAGCAATTTTAGTTTTGTTTTGTTATAGTTTTATTCTCTGGCCACAAGGTATTAATCCCACTTACGATTTCTTTCTTTGTTGCATTTCACCCAAACAAGTATGGATCTTTCCAAAAAGAAAATGCTACTTATCACCATTAGTGACACCATATATATGTCCGTGCATCAAACTTGCCACATAGCTATATGGGACGCAGTAATTTTAGTTTTGTTTTGTTATAGTTTTATTCTCTGGCCACACTTGTGTTGATGCGCAACAACGATTGGTGATGAATAGCAGTGCTCTCACAAAAAATGCTAACTAGTTTTCCGTTGCATATGTTGCAGCCAACATGGATAACTCAATGCCCGCTTCTCTTGCTCGACACGAGAATGCCATATGGAAGTTTGTCGGTCGGCTGCGAGGAGCATTTAGACCCTGCAGGCACGGGTTCATTGTACAACGAAGGAGAAGCGGATATCGTTGTGCAGCATGTCTTTTCTCTGATATATTCTGGTTCGCTGCTAGCCGTTGTCTTTCTGAGTTGGACCTTGATAAATTGTCCTTCTTTGTCAACTTAAAAACTACAAATGGAGCATACTAATTCCATGTATATTTTTGGTATAACTGCAGGTGTTAGCCCAACAGCAATTGCAGTACAATCTCCTTATGTTGCTCAAGTACAACTCTTGAGGGACAGGCTAGAGGAACTTCCTGAGGCTGCAGGAGTTGAGGTTGCCACAATTGATAGCTTCCAAGGCCGCGAAGCCGATGCAGTGATCATATCAATGGTACTACATTCTTAAAATTTTGTTTTTCAATAATAAAAAAAATACTATATATCACTGTCAGTAGTGCAATCACCATATATATGATAGTATCTTAAAACTGCCACGGAGCAGAGTGGGATCCTAATGAAGACATACACATACATGGTTAATTTTTTTTCCCCTCTTTTCTATGATTAAGGTACGGTCAAACACTTTAGGAGCAGTTGGATTCCTAGGAGATAGCAGGCGAATGAACGTCGCCATAACGAGGGCGCGCAAGCATGTAGCCGTCGTCTGTGATAGCTCGACGATATGCCACAACACCTTCCTAGCGAGGCTATTGCGCCATGTTCGCTATGTCGGGAGGGTGAAGCATGCAGAGCCAGGCAGTTTTGGGGGATCAGGACTTGGCATGAACCCAATGTTGCCTTCCATCAATTAAAAAAAAAAAAAATCCAAGTACGTATAGACACGCATGTTTTTCTTTTACCACCATCTTCTTCTTCCCCATTCTCTTCATGTACAGGTATTTCTCTTTTGGCAGAAAAGTAGCCATTTTAGTAGTTATACATTGACCATCAATTATTGGTTTTACTGTATATAAACGGTGTAATTCATCATTCATCCCAATACTTGTATGTAACTTATTTTGATTCGTCTTTACACTAACGAAGAACGAATGCCATTTTTTTAAGGAGCTTTTCGTTTACCCAGAATTGTTGAACTGGGAAATTGCATATCAATTATCAAAAGAAAATTACTGTCCAATAGACAAGAGCATGATAATGCTATATTTAGCATTGCTATATGTAGTGCAGAAATATATATATATATATATATTCAGTAAATTCGTAGTGTGCTCTATGCATTCATGTTAAAATAAAATGCTATACTTTGATTTTGATTTTCACTTCTTAATGTTTCATTATAAAATATTATTGTTTACCCCGTATAAATGGTTTAGTAATATTCTTCATTCCAATATCAAACTACTAATCCCTTTTTAGTTTACCATCAAGGCACTTATAATGAACTTCATGTGCCATCTTTTGAGCAAAGTTGTAAAACTTCGATAACATTTGTTGTACTTTTGATTCAATCTATTGATTTTATTTTATTAAATTACATTTTTTTTTTAAAAAAAAGTGACACTCGTGATTGTTGGTGGATATTATGATTATGTTGTAAAAAATTTACAATGTTGTATTTTTCAACACATGCTAAAAACTATGTTAATTTAATCCTATTATCATAACTTAGTTCAGCTAACTGGCGCTAGCCTAGTGGAGAAGATCCAAGGCTCGCTAAAATTTATCATTACTATGGTTCTCTGGAAATGAGATTTTAGATACACTACTAGAAACAGGACTATTAGCGATGACAAAAAGTCGTTGCAACAAATGTAAAGTCGTCACAAATGAAGGTTTAACGACCACTTGTCGTCGCAAATGTGTCGTCGTAATTGATTCGTCGCAAAAATAATTTTTACGACGACAAGAAGTCGTTGCAATTATATTTGTGACGACAATCGTCGCAAATGAGTCGTTGTAATTATTTTGTCGGTTACATCGTTAAGATGACATGACATTGAGTTTTTACAACGATATTTTTTGAATTAAGTCGTCGCAAAAGATATAGATTTAGTTGACGTGACTTATCTTTTCTACGACCACATTTATTGTCGCAAATAATATTTTAATATATATATATTTTTTATTTTACTAATTAATGTTGTATATTATTATATATTTAAACTCAATATTAAATATAATTCTTGATATTATAATAATAAAAATGAATTAAATAAAAGAAAATAAATAATAAAAAATAAAAATAAAAATTATTATTGTAAACAGTAATTAATAAAATAAAATAAAAATATAATTATAGTAGAAAGGTGCGAAAATACAAAATAAATAGTTACTTTACACAAGCTTGTGTCGTGTTACGTGGAAGGCAGTCAAGATTGTTATATTTTGTGAGTGTTTCGGTTACAAAGAAACCAGAGAATATTTAAGGAGAAAATATTGTCTCAAAAATATCTGTTTAGTAAGCGGATTTCTCATGTCAATCTATAACTTTAATTATGCTGAATTGGGTGGGTGGTGGATACTGAATTGGGTGAATGGTGGATGCTTTGGGGTAGAGCAAGTTTTGTTTCGTCTGTTGTTATTGTTTTTACTTTCTTATTCTCCCTTTGTGTTTAGATTTTGATTTTCCCGGAGAAATAGTAGAAAATATGCCAATATGAAAAGTTTAAGAAAGTATATAAATTAATTTTTAGTTATAAAAATTAATAGGTCATAACTTGTTAAGTTATGGTTCATAATCAGATAAGTTATGGATAAACTTATCAAGTTATGGTTCATAGTCAGATAAATTATGGACAATTATAAACAATAACTTATCAAGTTATGGTTCATAACCAGACAAATTATGAATGAAAACAATAATTTAACCTATTTATTAACTTATTTAAACTATTAATCTATTAATTTTAATTTATCTTAAATCTTAACCTATTTTTCTCTTTCTTCTTTTTCCATCGCCAATGAACAATCAAAACAGAATTAAGCCCATTTTATAATACCCACTAAAAAATAGTTCAGTCTGAGACGTAAGCAAGTCTTAAAATAGAATGAGCATTCAAAAGTATTTATACAGAGGGAATGAGGAAGTACTTCGTACTTTCTTTTTCGAAGTGGGGCTTTTGTACTATTATTATTATTATTTTTTTGAAGCTTTAAAACATGTTTAGTTAGAGTACCGTTTAGTTCGTTGATCTGAGTTTAGATGTGATTTTATATGAGAATTTTTTACTGTAATAAAAAAATTAAATATGATTATTTTTAAAAATTTTTTACTGTAACAAAATTCAAATCGGTGAAATGAATATGATATAAATAGTCTTGGCACACAACACAAAGTAAAAGCATTAATGCCAATGTGGCAAGACATTCTCACATATATCCTCAAGTTGAGGGATCAAGACAGTTTCAAATGAAATTTTTAGCACCCAAAAAAAAAAAAGGTCAATAAATTGAATTTCAATTTGGTTTCGATCGATTTTCTCAATCGGCGCTATTTTGTATACATTCATGTTAAAATAAAATGCTATATTTTGACTTTGAATTTCACCCCTTAAAGTGTCATTAGAAAATATTTAAATAATTTTTTATTATCTTCTATTCTAATATCGAACTACTGATCCCTGTAGTTTACCATCAAAGCACTTATACATGAACTTCATGCCGTCTTTTGAGCAAGATTTTTCAACTATGATAACATAAATTGCACTTATAAAGTTTTCGACTCTTTGATCAATATATATAATATATGCTTTTTTCTACACTTCTTTTAACGTAACATGCTAAGACAATTATTGAACATAATATTGATATTAGAGATGTGTAATATAGTCTTTAGATGTCTAAATTTTTTAATATTAAACCTCTCCAACGTGAATAGTATGTTCAATGATTATTATATTACGTTTTTTTATATCCGCACGTTATGTCTGATGGACCTCCCATTAGAGAGATCGTAGAAAAGCCATCCATATATATATATATATATTAATAAGAAAATGTTTTATATCCGAAAAATGTAACTTTCTTCGTATTATTGTGTAACATCGTTTTTTGTGTGTGTAACATTCAGTTGCTTAAGTTAGCATTTAAAAAGTATTATTTAATACATGTAACATTGGGTATTACACTTAAAACAAACTGAATATTACACACATATATAAACGATGTGCATAAAAACTAAAAATATAAAGTGATATTTGTCGGACTGTACATGTGTTGAACTTGAGACTTTGCCTATATTTATATAGTACATAGTTGAAACTGTATATTATTTAAATTAATATATAATACAAAGAGAAATACTTTAAAGATAAAATATTTATCTTTTTATATTTTATATTTTATATTTATTCAAAAAGTATCTCGTCAGTTTTTAATCTTATTAAAAATATATCTTCTAATTATATTTAATACATAAATCTATATTTTTTCGGACAAAAATTAATTTAACTTGCGAAATAATTGTGTGGAAATATGGATATGTGCCATATACAAACTCCTTATGTAAATAATTTGATCATTTTAAAAGTCAAAATACTAAAAAAAAAAAAGTATAGCTTTATATATTAACCATAATTTGAGGATAAATTTGGACGAAATTAAAAACTGAAAATATAATTTCCGAATAAACATAAAACATAAGATATAAAAAGGTAAATAATCCAAAGATAGAAATGTTATAAAATTTTCACAATTTATTAAATTTAAAGTTTTGACAAATTCTCTAGCTTCATAATGCGACAACACTCCCAAAACCCTAACTTATGTTGCTTCACCGCCCAAAATTCATATTTGTTAATCATTAAAACAAAAAATAGATTATTTATAAAAATAACACTGATTACAACAATTATCTTATAACTAACACTATTTTTTCATATTTTTATTTTTAACATTGTTACGTTAGATTTTAAGGACCCCACACATATTATTTGAAATACCCTTTACAGAATCTTGTTTGGTTGGTAGATTTATATCATGATTTGAATTATGATTCGTGATTCGCTCAGTATTTTCTCTCACAAAAAATACACGTAAATCAAAAATAATTTTAAATAATAGTTCTGAATTCATGAACTAACGTTCTTAGTCACATTTCCCTTCTCTTCTCTCTCTTTTCCTCTCTCCCCTTTTTGATTTTGAATCATCACGAAAGTGAGGAGAGAAGCAGTGAAAGTCCATGGAGACTGTGCAGCGAGGGCCAAGTGGAGCAGGTGAAGATAATCCTTTTTGGTCGGCGTCGGCCTCAATTCATCGCCACCGTCTCCATGGTTTGTGCCGCCCTGGTGGAGGCCAAGAGGCGGTGCACCGAGAAGGCCGTGATGTCGATACTTTGGATAGCGCCGCAGTTTCTGATATTCGGGCTGTCGGAGATGTTCACGGCGGTGGGGCTGATAGAGTTCTTCTGCACGCAGTCGTTGAATTACATGATTTTCTCCTCCAAATGCTGATCATGTTACTGCTGCCGCTGGACAAGGACAAGGACAAGTATTTGAAAACCACAACAAGAAGTATATTGCTACTACTACTGTTTGATCCTATTAATGTATATTAATTATGTAACTTGCAATTCATGAACTATATTAATACACATTTATAGTACGTACTAATTATTCATGTGGTAGAATTATGATCTAGGTATATATAATAACATTATGTATTGATGTTACGCAATTAAGTTAAGACTGTGATTCGTTCTAATTTAATTAGATACCATATCATCAATCTCTCGCTGATTTCACTCTCTAGTAATATTGTGCCATATAACATTTATGTACAAATTTTTTTGAGATAAGGTCGAAGTGCTCTTTATTAACTAGAAAACTCTGTAAATACAGAAGTTGAATTGGTACACTACAATAATTTCTGAAATAACTACTTAATAATTTATGTAATGACCATAATCCATTTTTTGAATAAAAAATGCCTAAGTTATTCACTAAGTAACTTTTTTTTTTTTTTTACTTACATTCTACATGGTTTTTTCATTTGATGTATAAACAGTAAAGAAATTCTACTACCAGTAGGACAAAGTAGTTGAATTGGTACACTATGGTAATTTCTGAAATGACCACTCGGTAATTTCTGTAATGACAATAATCAATTTTCTGTATAAAAATGCCTAAATTATTCACTAAGTAACTTTTTTTTTAGATTCTATTGGTGGTTTTTTCATTTGA